GAACTCCCAGTACTGATCTCCTTTAGGATGGACTGGTTGGATCTCTTTGCAGTCCAAGGACTCTCAAGACTCTTCTCCAACACCACAGTTCAAAAGCATCAATTTTTTGGCACTCAGCTTTCTTCACAGTCCAATTCTCACATCGATACATGACCACTGGAAAAACCATAGCCTTGACTAGACGGAATTTTGTTGGCAAAGTAATGTATCTGCTTTTTAATATGCTATCTAGGCTGGTCATAGTTTTCCTTCCAAGGAGTAAGTGTCTTTTAATTTCATGGCTGTAATCACCATCTGCAGTGATTTTGGAGCCCCCAAAAATAAAGTCTGCCACTGGTTCTACTGTTTCCCCATTTATTTGCCATGAAGTGATGGGACCAGATGCCATGATCTTAGTTTTCTGAATGTTAAGCTTTAAGCCAACTTTTTCACTCTCCTCTTTCACTTTCATCAAGAGGCTTTTTAGTTCCTCTTCATTCTCAGCCATAAGGGTGGTGTCATCTGCATATCTGAGGTTATTGATATTTCTCCCAGCAATCTTGATTCCAGCTTGTGCTGCTTCAGCCCAGTGTTTCTCATGATGTACTCTGCATATAAGTTAAATAAGCAGGGTGACAATACACAGCCTTGACATACTCCTTTACCTATTTGGAACCAGTCTGTTGTTCCATGTCCAGTTCTAACTGCTGCTTCCTGATATAGGTGTGTATATATAGTGTATTTAAAATAATATGAGATTTAAGATCAGACAGACTTGGTCAAAAAGCTGGCCCTGCCACTTTCTAGCTTTGTGACCTGGCAGATGCTCTTTTAGTTTTCATATTCTCAGAGAATCTCAGGATTCTCTATCCTACAGTTGTTTTCAGACTAAGGGCCTAATCCATGCAAACCCTGGCACACAGTAGGATTTATTATTATTTTTTTCTTAAAGGAAGATACGTTCCTCATTTTTAATCTTAAATGGTCAATAGCCTACCAAGACTTTTCTAAAAGCCTTTGACAAAGAGTCTTTGAAATGAGAAAATTACATAAAACAGCAATTAGTAACCTGAAGCTTGAGTCCTATTCTGCAAACAGGAAACTCGTAGCAGGACCTGGGAGGAAGGACCCTCTTCTCAGCACGTGTTCTAAATGAAGGCGCATCCTTTGCCTCAATAATTGGATATCTCTCCCTTAGACTGAGAAATAGATCGCCCCCCGCCCCTGCCACCCACCTCCACCATACTTAACTTTTCCATTTACGATGCTGATATGTCCCTGAATTTTGCAAGTACATTTGCTTAGAATTAATACCATCATCATAAAGGACCCGTTTCTTAATTTCTTTTCATGCTAAGTTAGCAAGAGAGATCAAAGTCTTTTCTTCTTATGACTGAACTGCTCAAGCATCTAAAAATGCCTTTAGGACTTCAGAGAGAAGCCACCACAATGCATGACACTCACATTCTTTTGATAGACTTACAGGTCTGTAAGGTTTTGTGCGGGTGTGTGTGCAACCTAATACAGCTAGCTACTGCCTAGTATGGCAAATGAAACAGAGACGACTGCTTTCATGAGCCACATTTTCTTAACTAAAAACGTTCAGATCATTACGCAGTAGTTGGTTTTTTTCCCCCATCAGAAAGTTTGACCTAAATTTTTTTTTTTAAATTTTAGGGTCTTTTAAAAATTATTCAGCATTAACTTCAGTTAAGCAAGAATGAAATTGACATTTTAAAACTGGATTTTAGGATATAGATGAAAGCTTCTGATGTATACTGGTGAACTGACTCAGATTCATTAAATTCTCAAAGATTTGTCATCCTCCAAACCTAGCTATGTAAAACAGCCAAATATTAATAGAAAATCCCTGACTTTAAGTTACTGGTGTCAGAAATGTTAAACAGGGAAAGAATCTTCACAGATATTTTCCCTACAAAAATAACCCAAAGGTTTGATTGTGAACATGTTGTTTACAATGGAGAAAAATTGAAAGCAACCAAAAAGTCCAGGTTTAGGGATTAAATAGATAAAATGGGGACTATTTTTAATAATAGAAAGTCTTATCATGGAAAATAAAATGATAAAAATTACTTAATGTGACACAGAAAGATGCTTGTTAACTAGTGATAAAGTTCAAAGCAGTACATTTAGTAGGATTTCAATTCTCTAAATACACACAGATACAGACAGGATGACACAGCAAGTGCAGAGTTATTTTTTTCTAGATGATGAATTTATAATTGGTTTTTATTTTATTTTTGTTTTGTACATATGTATTTTCTAAATGTACAGTAAAAAAAAAATTCTAAACAGTAAGTTATTTTAGACAGTAATGGGCTTTCCTGATGGTTCAGCAGGTAAAGACCGCCTGCAATGCAAGAGATACAGGAGACTCGGGTTTGATCCTTGGGTCAGTAAGATACCCTGGAGGAGGAAATAGCAATCCATTCCAGTATTCTTGTCTGAAAAAATCTCATGGACAGAGGAGCCTGTCAGGCTACAGTCCAAAGGGTTGCAAAGAGTCAGACATGACTGAGCAACCAAGCACTCAAGATAAGATGGACATTACTCTATTTTCAGACTTAGTTTCAATTATCAAATCTGTATAAATATTGGAATTTCAAAGTCATGGAGCAAATGGGTGAATATGATGCTTACAGATCTTGAAGGTGTTCTCTCCCACCACTAAAAATTCTTTAATGTCATCTCTAATAGATTAAAATCTGGCTAGATGGTGCTGATAAGGCTTGTAGGTATTTTCTGAGTTTAGTTTTAGTTATATCCTTAATTAAAGTGCCTAATTAATGCACAAGTATCTGAACATCCCCACTGCTATTAGTAATCAGCAACCCAAAACAGGGATTTTTGGATGATAAATAGATTCCCAATATGTTCCCAGTATATATAAAAGTAACTGAATTTTCCCCAGTCTCCAAAATGCTAGTTAGTACTTATTCTAGTTTCAGGGGAAAATACATAATTCCTGCACTGGTGATTTGTTTTTGGCAAAAGAAACCGTGAGTCCAAATGGAGACTATCCTTTGGCATTCTTATGTGCTGGTGAAGTGAATGGCTCTGGGATCAGAATGCCTGAGTCTGAACTTTAGTTCCTCCGACTACTAACAAGTTATGGGCTTTGGCTAAGTTATTTAACTTCTTTACATTTCAACTTCTTTATCTATAAGAGGGGGAAATACTGGTGCTTTCTCTATGGGGTTATTGTGGAGATTGAATTAATACACATAGAATTTAAAACAATGGCACACAGCGAGTGCTTTATAAAACCAAAGACATACCGTCCATTCTCTGCCTGCCCTCCCCACTCCCTCATAAAACCATCCTCACACTTCTCTGGGCCCCAGGAGCTGACCTCCATGCATGCGTGTTCAGCCACTTCAGCCGTGTCAGACTCTTGCAGCTGTATGCCCGCCAGGAGTGAGTTGCCATGCCCTGCTTCAGGGGATCTTCCTGACCCAGGGATCAAACCCGCATCTCTCGTCTCCTGTAATGGGCGGGTTCTTTACCACTAGCGCCACCTGAGGAGCCCGCTGACGTCCATGGACCGCCTCAAACCCTCTCAGCGCTGGCTTTCAGCTGGGCATAAGGAGACAGAGGATTCAGGACTGACTCCTCCCCGACTCCATTCCTGGCTCCCGGCGGTGGCCACGTCCTTCTACGGCTTCAGCTCTTGATGGCAGCCCCTCCTCCAGGACACCGATTTTTATTAAATTTCTCTCCAGTGCTTCCTTCTCCTCAGACTTCACGGGTAGTAACAGCTCCCAACAAGTGCTCATTTCTGGATGCTTCGCCGTATTTTGTTGCTTCCCTTAGAGCTGCTCACTCCCCTGTAAATAGTCTCTTCCTTGAACACTACTTAGTTTATCCCTTTTGAATGAGCCAAGTACTTCCTGCTGAACCCTGACCGTAAACAAATGACCCCTTTTAATAAATGGATCCTCCTGCTCATAACAGTACTGCAGTCAGAAGAGACTGTCAAGCACAAAGGTAATCATTTTATTGGGCATGCAAGGCACCAGACAACTTTCAGATTCTTCTGAATTATGAATGTCTCAGGTTTGCTAAACCATCCGAGAATCACACAGGTGAGATCTAAAGGATGGAATTTTTAGTTGCCATTTTATTTATGCACTAGGATATCTGCTGCTTAGCAATCACACCAGGCTTTGGATTCTTTTAAGATTCTTATCTGCTGATACATTTTCTTGATCCAAAGAGTACAAGATGAAGACCTGGTTTATGATTTCTATTAAATTTATACCAGGCTCTATCATTGGATCAATTAACTATTCATTCATTCATTTATTCATCACATATAAATTGAGAGCCCACTGTGGGCCAGAAGGGCATTGTGCTGGAGGAAAGCGTTATAAGCAGAAAGAAAACGGAGGCAGTCCCAGTCTCATGAATTTTCTAATTTGGGGAAGGAAATTTTAATTCTATAATTGTACATGTGCAAAAAAAAAAAAAAAAGTAAAATAGTATCCATGACAAATGCTATGATAGGAGGTGCATGATGTCACAAGAGTCTTTGATAGAGAATTTGACCTCGTCAGGAGATCAGGGAAAGTTTTCCTAAGATGGTGATATAAGCTGAGACCTGAAAAATAAGAAAGAGTTGATAAGAGAATTTCAGAAAGAGGAAATAGCATGTGCCAACACACCCTGTGGTGTGTGAGTGGGCTGGGGTCGCAATGAAACCTGGCCAGGAGAGAAGGCAGTGTGGCCAGAGCACAGAGAAGTAGGGAAAAGAAGGCGTATATGATGAGGCTGGGAGGAAGCTGAAGGTTGGACAAGACGGGGACTTTGAGGCCATGTTCACTAGTTCGTTCTATCCCTAAGGCATCAGGAGACCATTAGAGGGTTTTTAAGCAGGGAATGATGTGATTGGCCTTGAGTTTTTCAAAGATCATTTTGTGCTTCTAAACTCCACGATTCTAGACCAAAAAAAAAAAAAGTGTTGAAATAAGAATAGAGAATATTCACTTCTTTCTTTGCAGGTGATTAGATTGGAACTGAATTAATTTATCCTAATCAAAAGGATTCTTCTCAAGGCCTCATCAGTGACAGGTAATTTCAAGATGTGATCGTTATTCGTGTCTGTTTCTAATCAATCCCTGGTACTACATTTCAGCAAGTCAACACTGCTACATATTTTTGTAACTTTCCAGTAATTTTCATGTCACAGCTGTCACTGGGCTCCCTGCTGGACCCAAGTACACATAACTAATTAATCAATCAATCAAGAGGGAGAGAAAGTCATGCCTAATGCTGCAACAAGAGCTTGCTAAACCCTACGACTAGTTCGAGATGGAGTAAAATAGGAGGGCTCCTTAATGGGAGGCAGAGTTTGCAGATTTAAAGATAATTCCTAAGGCTAATGGTCTTTGTAATTTGGAGCGTGTGTACCACTGTTGCTTAGCTGTTTACTCCACATTATCGAGGGAAGCAAATCTATGGCTGGAACTCCCACCGCTTCCACTTGTCATCAGTGCAGAAGGAGGTGGGAGGCAGGGAGAGAGAACAGCAGGCAGAGGGAAGAATTCCTAGGTCTGGAGTCAGGAGAGCTGGCTCCCAGCTCTAATCCACTGTGTGCAACCTTGGGCAAGTCATTTAACCTCATACGACCTCCTTCATCTGTGAAAATTAGGTCTATTGAAAGTAAAAGAGAGATGCATTAAGGATAGCCCATCAGTAATTCAGGCACAGATTTAGGATGTGTCAGGCTTGCATTTCTCTGGACCTCAAAGTCCAAAAAGTTGACTCCGTTTACCTGTATCTTGGAAAACCTCCAAGTTTGCCACAGTGAAGGAAGGGTAGGTGAGGGGTCCCATTCGCTTTGATTGCTTCAGGTGGTTAAAGCTATGTGCAGTGGGACATATTATTTCTACTTACTTGTCCATTGGGTAAAACTAGCCATATGGCTCCGTCTTCTCAAGAGAAGCTAAGAAAGGTAGAAAACGTGGAATATAAGTGAACACTGTCACTGGCCAACTGTGGTCAATTTGTTGGGAAATACTTGAGTACTTGTTGGGAAGGGTTCTGAGATCTGGTTCAAACTCATCAGAACAAAATGGCACACATACGCCATTAGTGCATATATTGTAGCTTGATATATTGCGCGGCAACACATTGCTCCTCTAGCCAGAATATCCTTTTCCTCTTTTCCTTGTCTCTGAGAAATGAAATTAATCAGGAAAAAGTTGTTTGCTACTGAATTATGCAAAAGGAAATTAGAAAGTCTTCAGAATATTGCAACCAGGCTATGAAAAAAACGAGTAAATGAGTTGTACGAGATTTTTAATTTGGCCTCAATAGACACTCACAAGTAGACCATGGGATTTCTGGGGAATCTAATAGCTGTTTAGATTGTATGTGCTTATAAAAAAATGAAGTTTCTGGCTACTATTCATATGGAGCTGAGAGTGTCCATAACTCAAGCAAATAATGGAGAGGAGAGGAAACAGCTTCTTCCCTGACTAGTCTCCCAGTCCTGTTCACTAACTCCTTGGCTGCTGCCCACCTCCCCACCCCACCTACATAGTTTTTTGAGCATGATTCATTGTAGTCCCAGATCTATAGCACCAATTACATTTTCTGTGAAGAGCTTGTTTGCCAGTATCAGATCCTCCAAGATAGTGTGTTTCTTCCATCTGATGCTACCCTGGAGAGAGAAGACACATTTAAAAAAGAATTAATTTATTTATTTTCATTGGAGGCTAATTACTTTACAATATTGTGGTGGGTTTTGCCATATATTGACATGAGTCAGCCATGGGCGCACACGTGTCCCCCATCCTGAACCCCACTCCCACCTCCCTCCCCACCCATCCTTCTGGGTTATCCTAGAACACTGGTTTTGAATGCCCTGCTTCATGCATCGAACTTGCACAGGTCATCTATTTTACATATGGTAATATACATGTTTCAATGCTCTTCCCTCAAATCTCCCACCCTCGCCTTTCCCCACATAGTCCAAATGTCTGTTCTTTATATCTGTGGAGAAGACACCGTCTAACTCTGACACTGAGGTATGTCCATGGCTTTCAGTTTTCTCCACTGTAAAATGTTGCCTCAGTGCATCGTCCCCCCAGATTTTCAGTATGCATTTCCCAGGTGACAAGTATTTTAATTTACCGAACAGGGCACATGACATTGATTTTACAAAAAAAAGGTAAACCAAAAAAGAGAAGGGGGAGATGAGAGGGAAAGTTCTTGGTTAATAATAATTCTCACCCTTTGTACTTGTTTAAAATATGTGACCAAGCCCTGTACTAAGCACTTTCCAAATCTGAGCATACCTCTCCTATGAAACTATGACAGTCGCATAGAGACTGAGGAAGCCTAAGTGAGGTGGTGACACCAGGATTTGAACCCAGGAGGGTCTGACACCAGAGCCCATACTGTTTCTTAACCTCTTAGCAATATCCCACCAAAGCGCTGAAAGAGGATGACAGAAGCAAGTAAAGATTAAAATGGATGAGGGTCGGTGGCACTCAGAGGTGGGTAAAGACTGGAAAAGAAAAGGAAGGACATTCCCTATGCCCAAGGGGGTGGGATAAATTGAAAAACCCTCTCAGCGAGGGGGTGTTTGAATGACAGATTTCTCCTCCAATCTAAAGGGCAGTGGGATGATGGATGAGAGAATCTCTGAAAATGTGCACCATGAGATGGGAAATAATCAGATGGGGTTAGAGCTTTGGAGAACGGAGCGAGCGGCACAGTGTCTGTGTGTGGGCAGGGCCCGGGGGTGCGGTGGGGGGAGCCAGGCGCAGCCAGCAGCCACCGAAAAGATCACTGACAAGCAAAGCCCTGACCAGAGACAGAGGGGAGACAAGAAGGCCCAGCTGAGCAGCTTTCTAGTCTCTTCCCTCAGGATGTCCATGAGCACATTTTTGACCTAAAAATTTCAGTCTTTGTCTCCACACATTCCTCCCACAAACAGTTCCTGGGGGTTGAAGAACCGGACCCCGGCACTCAGCATCATTTGACCGAAGCCCCATTCTGAATGCTGAGATTTCTACATCCTTTCAGAAGAATTAACCATGATTTTAATTGCTTCAGACAGTGATAGAAAGATGCAAGCAGCTTATCAGAAAGGAAAGCTCCTTCTTGACATCACAAGGAATTTTCTTTTTTCTCCCTGCAAGTTCCTTATCTCAAGAGGAAGGAAAAGACTGAATGAAGTGAGTTGAAAATGAACAGGAAGAGCCGTTCTTCTATAACATGGAGGTTTGTGACAGTGTTTCCAGCCAATGAAAAATGTTATATGTACGCCAGGTTTCTGTGATGCTAAGCCCAAGTGGCTGCAAATTAATTGAAAAATATCCTGGATAACCTGAGTTACAGCGGGCGCATAGGTCTCTTCGGAACAAAGGCAGGGAGAGAGCTTTTGTTTGGTTGCTGGTGCAGGTGACCTTGTGGAACGCACACCATAAATTGCTGTAATTGTGGGATGATAAGCCTGGTTGATAGATTTCTGTCACTCTCCATAAAAAATGGGCTCACCTTCCTGAAGTCTGCAGAGGCATATACATCAAAAAGCACATCGTTGCTGCTGCATCAAGACAGGTTTCTCTGCACATTTACAAACATCCAGGAAAGGTGTCCACATTTCACTCATCCACCAGAACTCACCTTTCTTTCAGGATCATTTTCACATCTTTTTTAAAAAATTTTGTTCTGTGTCCCTTTTCATTCTAGACATGCACCTGGCTTTGGACAATGATGCCTGAGTATGATTAGGAAACAGTGAAAGTGGGACAATAACCCCAATGTGGTGTTTATTTCACCGTCTTGTTTTTCAGATAAGAAGGGCACTGAACAGAAAGAGACAAGGGGGATACTAATGCTAGATCACATGATAAGAATGAACCAGGAAGACCGAAACAGACCGGCACATAATATCTGCTGCTCCAGCCTCAAGCAGTGAGTCAGGGCAGAGGCAAACCTAGACTCTGCTGTCAGTAGAAAGACTATGTCAATAGAAACCATAGCACATATTCTGCATTCTCTACAGAACATTTGACTTTTTTTTTTTTTTTCTACTCAGTAAATAGCATGCTGCTAGGGTAGCAATCCTTCTGCTATTTCCTGCAGCTAGTGAAAAGGAGACTCAATAACCTGGAAGCTCTTCTGCCTGAAAACCAAGGGTTCTGATTTGGGGGAGGCACTGACATAGAATTCCTAGGAAATGAGTATGCAGTGTATGTAGACATGAAATGTAGTAATCAGCCAAACCACCCTTGAAGTGAATCTCAGCTTAGCTGTGTCGCTTGAAGTCTGTTATTTGACTTTAAGTCTCAGTTTCCCTGGGTGCCAAATGGAAACACTTAATTGACAAGGTTAAAATGAGGATTAGACACAATATAGAAAAGCCCAGTGCACAGTAAGCTCCAAGCAATGATGGTTTCCATTCACAAAGGGGTATACAGATACGTTCCTAGCAGGACTTATTTACCTGAGGAAAATGGCATAGAAGAGTAGGAAAACCATTGGCTCAAAAAAAAAAAAAGCAAGAAAGAAAAGAAAAAGAAATAGAAAGAGAGAGAGGCACTCCTCTGGAGTAAAATGGCTCCAAAAAGGCTCCACACTAGCCATGTGGCCTCCAGGAAGTGGCTTAAGCATCTGTAGGAGGGAGATAATATCTTCTTCGTAGAAACATTGTAAAGAATCAAAGCTGTTTATAAAAATAAATAAATACATTAGTATAACTCTTGGCACAATATAAGCACACAATATACATTTTCTCCTTTCCCACCTGAAGCACAATAATGATAAAGAAACCTATAAAAAGTATAGTATTCCTGTCTCCCAATATTTATACTCTAAACTACATCTATAATGCTTTCTATAGTCTTAAGCTGCAGTTTAGTTTGTACATTTTATTAGGGCTCTCCAGAAATCTGGTGTATATATAGAGAGAAAGAAATTTATTTTGAGTAATTGGCTGATGCAATTGTGGAGGCCAGTAAATCCATAATCTATGAAGTGGACCAACAGGCTGAGGACCTAGGAACAAAGAGCCACTGCGGCTGTTGAAACACAAAGACCATCGAGCTGGAGCCCCGGGAAGGGCTGATGCTCCAGTTCAGGTCTGGAGGCAGTCTGCTGCGGAAATCTCTTTTGTGCGTGTAAGGTCAGTCTTTTGTTCTATTTGGATCTTCAACTGATTAACTGAGGCCCACCTGCATTGGAAAGTGCAATCTATTGTATTCAAATTTTATTTATTCAAAATTATTTATTTATTCAAATTATAATAAATAAAATAAAATTTTAAAATAAAATGATAAAAATAATAAATGCAAAATAAATTTATTTATTTATCCATTGATTTAAGTGTAAATTTCATCTCCCCCCACCCCATACACACAAAAACCCTCACAGAAACCTCCAGAATAATGTTTGAGCAAATATCTAGTTTTGATCCCATGACCCAGCCAAGTTAACACATCGAATGAATTACATGTGTCTTAAGTAATTTCCATGGGACAGATATTTGAAAACAGACAAAAATGGCTTGTAACCATTTTTGAGAGATTAGAAATCGAGAATCTTGGTGAAGAAATTCCCTTCTTCAATTAAGTCTGGATCCTTGGGGGTGGAGATTGGGATAGGATGCATGATAGTGACAGGAATTCAAGTTTTCAGCATTTGTTCCTCCTCATGAGAGTTTCTGCCCCTTTTGGATCAAAGATGAATGTCTCTATCACTAAAGCAGAGTGTCCATCACTGGCTCCTCTAAGAGAGTTCACATTTGTTACTGCCCTTCCAACATGATTCTCAAAACAAATAGTAAGTGGGATTTAATGTTATCTGATTCTAGTTTGAAGATAAAGGTGAATTCTAATCTTCCTGTGTCATGGCATATTCTTCTAAATATGAAAAGTGATACATGTGATACTTTCCGGTATGGTTCCCATGCTGTCTACTGCTTTTCACAGGTACCAATTGCTTTGGGACTGGCTATAAAATAGCTAGGTAAGTTGTTTCTAAAGGTTGTATATAGAAACACCTTTCTAAATGCTCTGCTTAATTTTTTTCCCACATTGTAATTCATTGTTGGCCTTTTCTACAGTGAATTGTTGGAATTAACCAATAAATCAGCAAGAAAAGACATGCCAATTTCCTTCCCAGTTGATAAATTACAGGGTGGGCATGGCATAGTGTGTTTTATGGTGTGTGTGTGTGTGTGTGTGTGTGTGTGCACACTTGTGAATGTGTACTATTGTCCCCATCTAAATTTAATTTTTTAAGAGATATTGAAATCCTGGAGCTTCTAAATTACTTGCCAATTTTAATGAGCCACATAAACATAATATGTATAAAAATATACTTTATCATATGACAATTGGAAAACAATATTATTCCAGATTTGCTCATGTTCATTTACTATAGAAGGCTTTGCTTTTCATTCTATACTCAATTTGTGTTCATTCATGAGGATTTTTCCACCTCCCAGTTTTCTGTTTTCTTAGTAATTAATTTGTTAACTATACAAAGAGCATTTATAGTTTAGTTTATAAACTATAAACTAATGGGAAATTAATAGTTTCCCACTAATCTCTATATCAGTAACTCCTATAAATAATGCTGTAATAGTCTTTATTTAACAAAATATTCTGTTCAGTTCAGTTCGGTCCAGTGACTCAGTAGTGTCCAACTGCAGCCCACCAGGTTTCCCTGTCCATCACTAACTCCCACAGCTTGCTCAAACTCATGTCTGTTGAGTCGGTAAATACCATCCAACCATCTCCTCCTCTGTCTTTTCCTCCCACCTTCAATCTTTCCCAGCATCAGAGTCTTTTCAAATGAGTCAGCTCTTTGCATCAGGTGGCCAAAGTATTGGAGTTTCAGCTTCAGCTTGAGTCCTTCCAATGAATATTTAGGACTGATCTCCTTTAGGATGGACTGGTTTGATCTCCTTGCAGTCCATGGGACTCTCAAGAATGTCCTCCAACACCACAGTTCAAAAGCATCAATTCTTTGGCACTCAGCTTTCTTTATAGTTCAACTCTCACATCCATACATGAGTACTGGAAAAACCATAGTTTTGATTAGATGGACCTTTGTCAGCAAAGAAATGTCTCTGCTTTTTAATATCCTGTCTTGCTTGGTCACAGCTTTTCCTCCAAGGAGCAAGCATCTTTTAATTTCATGACTGCAGTCACCATCTGCAGTGATTTTGGAGCCCCCCAAAATAAAATCTGTCACTGTTTCCACTGTTTCCCCGTCTATTTGCCGTGAAGTGATGAGACCAGATGCCATGATCTTAGTTTTCCGAATGTTGAGTTTTAAGCCAACTTTTTCATTCTCCTCTTTCACTTTCATCAAGAGGCTCTTTAGTTGTTCTTTGCTTTCTGCCATAAGGGTGGTGTCATCTGCATATCTGAGGTTATTGATATTTCTCCCAGCAATCTTGATCCTTCACATCAGGTGGCCAAAGGATTGGAGCTTCAGTTTCAGCATCAGTCCCTCCACTGAATATTCAGGACTGATTTCCTTTAGGTTTGACTGGTTGGATCTCCTTGCACTCCATAGCTTTGGCTAGCTTTCCCATTGATATTTCTCCTGGCAATCTTGATTCCGGCTGTGCTTCATCCAGCCCAGTATTTAATACGATGTACTCTGCATATAAGTTAAATAAGCAGGGAGACTATACAGCCTTGTACTCCTTTCTCAATTTGGAACCAGTCTGTTGTTCCATGTCCTTTCTAACTGTTGCTTCTTCACCTGCATTAATGTGGTAAAATAGAAGTCCCTTTAAGATGGGGAATACTTAATTATCTACTCATGAAATCTAGGAAATGTGCTCTTTGCCCAATGAGCTGACTGTTAAGGCACTCTGACAAATGTAAAATGATTATGCCAGTCAGTTAGTAAATATACAGGTGGCTTAGCAGCCCCTTGGGAAGTCTCCATAGCATCCATGAGTACAACATTTTTCCTTCAGTTCAACTCAGCAGTGTAGGCAGAAGGGCAGTTCAAGATCCTCCAGGGCAATCTACCTAAATGTTACTGAACCAAACTTGATTCCACTTGCCTGTGGGCAGTAAAGTCAGGCAACTGACCCACATTGTGATAAAGGAAAGTGCAGCATTTATTGCAGGGCAGCATAATAAATGTTTGACCAAGGAATCCAGGTTGCTAGTGTTTAAAAGACCGAAACTCCCTGAAGGCTTTCAGGGAAAGATTTTTAAATATAAGGTAAGGGAAGAGGAATGTTGGGTATGTGTTCAGCTCATGAACATTCTTCTCATTGGTTGGTGGTGAGGTAATCAGAAGTCAATATCATCAACCTTCTGTTTCCAACAGGTCTGGGGTCTATGTGCTTGTGGGCAGCATGCAGTTAACTTTTTCCACTTAGCAAGGGTTTCAGTATCTGCAAAACAGCTCATAGGACATGGATCAGAATATTATCTATAGCCCTTGAGGAGGAACTAAAAGTCCTATAAGTCGTTTAATGGCTAGATTATTACTATTTTGTCTTGCTTGACTGTTTTCTTTTTGCTTTTAATAAATTTTCTCACTTCTCTGACTGTATTTATTCATTGACTAAAGTTTTGTACAGACAAAAGTTAGGCAGAGGACTTGGGGTTACGGCTGCTATTCTGGGAAATCCCCATAGGGTCCTGCTTGGTTACATTAAGAGACTACATCTACATGGTCTGGCCTATCGCTCTAAGGCAGAACTCCTTGCTTAACTTCTTCTCTGTACATATGTCCAGTTCTTTATTGATCCAATAAGGACACAGATATTTCAAAAAGGTTTTGTGAGAATTGATTGCAAAGTGATTTACACAATGGTCAGCCCATAAAAGGCCTTCAATAGATGTGTCTTCTTTGTTTTGAAAAGAATGAAGTGATAAAGGCCTTTGAGAGAGCCTTGCAAAACACTTAAAACTAAAAGAGGAGAAAAAGGAAAACTAGTCAACAGAAATGAAGAGCACAGGGAAAGGGCAGTTAGTGGTCAGGACAAATAAGGTCATGGAAACTGAAGGAAGTTAAGGTTCATGAAAGTTTTATGATGCAGTCTCTGGGAGCAAATAGAGTCCAGGACAAGATAATCTAAAATGTTCTTTTCTAAAAGTGTTTTTAAAATATTCTGCCCTGTGCTCTGTGGGAACAGAGCTCATTTG